TCTGCGCTACACAATTCCCAGAGCCCCGCACTCCACCACAATCCCCTCAGAGTTGGCTGCGCAGAATTCTGGGACTTGAAGTCCGAGGCCTGTTTATCCAAGTTAGAGAAAAGGGCCTGTGGAAACATGAAGAGGTAAGTTCTTGTCTGAGCAGGCGGCGAAGGGAACTCTGTTTTACCTTTTAACTTAAAATGGCTTTTATTACTTTGTGTGTGGGGTATGTCACGTTCTCGGGATGCGGTTTCGTGTGAGAGGGAAGACAAAAGAGGGAGCAGAGGAGACGGGCTAGGCAGGCCTCCTGGGCGAAGTTCAGGAAGGGTCGCCGCCGCTGCCGGTTCCTACAGAAATAACCTTTCAGCCCAGGCATCTAAGCCCCGGCGCGGGTCCCCTGGAGCCGGACACATGCTGTGGCTTCTTCCTATTGCAGATGGACCCACCCAGCTAGAGTCTTTGCCGACTAATGCCTCGTGCCAGAGAAACCCAGGCCAGCTCCTCCCAATACCTCCACCCTGTCCGCAGAAAGGGGACCTGGGTAGGCGCCTTTATTTGCAGGGCTTGTGTATTAAAGAAAACGCGGGCATGTAACGTTTTCAAATCCTAAAGTAAGTCATACTTTAATACTTTTTTCTACAAATTTAGAAGGCAAAACCGATTCAATGTCATAGGAAAAGAAAGGCACTTGGTGCGAGCAGTTCCCCCTACTGGTTCTGCAGGAAATGGCAGCTTTAACTTGGCTGGTCATTGTTGAAAGCCTGAGTTTCCCAATTAGTCCACAAGCCTTTTCTAAGGATTCTCAAATTAGTTTTGTATCCACTCTGCAAGTAGAATAATCGCTCTGGAATAGGGCCGTATATTTACAATTCTTACTGGTACTATGCTGTCCTGCAACTGTCAGTTTCTGTATCTTTTAAGAAACTGGTTCTGATTTTCCCTGCCTCAAAATGACTTTAAAAAAATGTTTCTAGTGATATGTCTCATACATGCAAAATAATGTATATATAAAGTTTAAAGAATAATAATAGACTCATACCCACTACAAGCTTTAGACCTGGAACATTACTAGTACCTTAGAAGTCCCCAGTGACCCTCCCAGGTTACTTCTCCTCTCTCCCTCCTCAGGGCACCATTATTCAGAATTTTGTGCTTATCATTCCCTTTCTTTAAAAAAAAATAGTTTTATGACTTCTGATTTTATCCCTAAACAAAATATTGCTTGTTTTATCCATTTTTCAACTTAACATAGATGGACACATATTATATACATTTTTATGTGACTTGCTTTTTTTACTCAACATTTCTTTTTGAGTATTTAGCTATGGTTTACTCATTTCAAAGCCACTTTAAACTTAGCAAAAACTTTCTGAATTCTAAATAATAAATAAAAATTAGGATACTTAGAAGGGATTTTTGAAACCCTGGGCCTAAGGATATTTTAACAAATGGGACTTATACCTATTTCCCAAAATAGGTATAAGTCTTTCTAGAGCATGAGAATCTTGCTTATAATTATGAGGGATACTTTTCCTAGGTCCCAATAATAAAGGACTATTTTATAAGGTATTTTAATATTTCCTCATGGAGTTAGCTCAATTTATTTTTTGTTCTTTTGTCTTTTATAATCTGTTGTTGCCTAAAATAATTCTGCTATTTCTTTATACTCTGATGTTTTAAGTTATTTATGATTAGTTGGCTCATGTTAGCATGACCTAGATTTCTATACAGTAGTGCCTGGGCCAGTGATGGCAAACCTATGACACGCGTGTCAGAGGTGACACGCGAACTCATTTTTTTTGGTTGATTTTTCTTTGTTAAATGGCATTTAAATATATAAAATAAATATCAAAAATATACATCTTTGTTTTACTATGGTTGCAAATATCAAAAAATTTCTATATGTGACACCGCACCAGAGTTAAGTTAGGGTTTTTCAAAATGCTGACATGCCAAGCTCAAAAGGTTCACCATCACTGGCCTAGGCTATACAATGTTATGATCCCTTTCACATTTGTTTCTATGCTTTTTCCTTTGGAGATCTCCTTTTCACAGCTCCAGATTCTGACACTACAGATGACTTGATATTTCCATGTTCAGCCTGATACTTACCTGTGCAATATTTCTCCCGTATCTCACTTCCCTTTTAGCTAATATCACTTATACTGTCACCTCAGACTCAATATGTCTTTGAATATTCCTGGTGTTTCCATTATAATAGGTAGTTGACCCAACATGGCTAAAACAATACTGATGTTCCCTTTTCCCAAACTATTTCACCTGGAGCTTCCTCTTTCCTTCATTGGTACCATTGTTCTCTCAGTTTGAAATTTGGAGGTTATCTTTTACTTATCTTTTACCCTATTTTCAAAAGGCCTCTGTCATCTAACTCTTCATTTCTGTCCCCTGTTACCACTTCACTTTGGACTTTTGTCCTCTTATCCTTGATAAGTTTTCCAGCTAGTTCTTTTGGTTTCTTTCCTACTAATCCATAAGGCATGTTATAACCACACTAGACGCCCGGTGCACAAAAATTTGTGCACTCGGGGGGGATCCCTCAGCCCAGCCTGTGCCCTCTCGCAGTCTGGGACCCCTCAGGGAATGTCCACCGGCTGGCTTAGGCCTGCTT